CTTATGTAACAGATAGTTTCTTAGCAAACAGGAGCATTTAGAAGGAAAATGAAAGATTAATATTTCTTAAATAAATGTCAAAATAAGTCATTCTTTATTACAGCCCTACAAAGATGATGCTGTCAGCCCCAGCCCCTCTGCTGATTCCTTGGGGAGATTATTCCTGCCGCAGTCTTGGGCTCGGGAGGTCTCAGATGTCCGATGCCTCTGGATTTTTAGGGATGCTTTAAAGGGCTTTGCTCCCTGATGCCAAAACACACCAGAACCAGTCCAGCCCCTTATGTGGGGGGAGGTTGGAAGCTGCCCCTGACTTGGCAGCAGCTCCAGGAACAGGAGGATGCAGGTCCTGGCTCTGCCATTGCTGCCCAGTCGAGGATGTGTGGATCCAACCCAGATTTCCCTGGGGTGGCTGCAACCTGGCAGCTCCTGGCCCTGCTTGGCACATCCCAGCTGCCTTTCCTGCTCCTTAATGGGTGAGAAGCTGAGCTAACCCTTGGGACAGCCTCTCTGCTCCTATCACCAGCCATCTTATTTCCTTTGGAAAACATTTGGATGCTGTTGGATGGGGGTGGGACCAGAGAGAGTGTCCGTACTGACACCTAGTTCTGCAACTACCCAGCCGGGAATTACAGGATTTGCTTTGCCAGGTCACCCTGATCCATCTATCGTTTTTCACGCCAACATGGGATTGGGATGACCTCCAGGTGGGACTGGGCTGTATCCCATGTCTCCTCCTCTCCCCCATCCCAGTCAACTCTGGCCTGGAGCCTGCCTTCTGGCAGTGGGAAGCCATTCCCTCTTGTCCTGTCACTCCAGGCCCTTGTCCAAAGTCCCTTTCCAGCTCTCCTGGAGCCCCTTTAGGGACTGGAATGCTGCTCCCACCCATCTCCCTCCCACCAGCAGCAGTGAAGGTCATTTGCCTGGGTGATGCCACCCAGTTGGCATCTTGATTTTTTTTCCAGCCACCCACTCCCACGCCTTTCCCTGATCTCTGAGCTGAACTGCAGTGCTGCCGACTGCGTTACCCACCTGGAGAGCAGCAGCCCCATAGAATCACAGAATATCCTGAGTTGGAAGGGACCCTCAGGGATCATCAGTCCAACTGCTGGTCTTGCACAGGACACCCCAACAATCCCACCCTGTCCCTGAGGGCGTTGTCCAAACACACCTTGAGCTCTGGCAGCCTTGGGGCCGTGACTCTGGGGAGCCTGTTCCAGTGGTGACCACCTTCTAGCAGAAAAACCTTTTCCTAATGTCCAACCTAAACTTCCCCTGACACAGCTCCACCCATTCCCTCAGGTCCTGTCGCAGAGAGAACCATCCTGGATGGTTTATTCACCTTACAGGAGCAGCCTGGGAGCTCTTCCATGCCAAAACCCTACCGGAGTCCCTCACCCCCACCCCTGCACATCTCCCAGCCCCATCAGGGCTGGACTGGGCACTGTCCAGGGCACAGGCAGGAACAGTCCCTGCCTGGTTAATCTGGGCAGCCGATACAGGGAGCGATAGGCGAGGGGAGCGTTATCGGCTGATTTACAGATGGAGGCTGAGTCACCACGAGTAACCGACTTCCCAAGGTCAGGCAGGGGAGAGGCCGAGCCCAGCGCTGAACCCGGCTCTCTGAGTCCCCCAGCGAGGCCATCCCCCCTCTCCCTGCCATGGGAAGGAGTTATTCCTTCTGCCAGGGCAGGGGCTGGACCTGCCGCTCCTTTGCTTCAGCAGCTGGTGGGGTTTCCTTCTTGGATGTTTGGCTTTTTCCTGTTCTCACAACCATTTTGTTCCCTTGCCAGTGTTTCCGCCAGAGCATGGGTTCACCCTGGGGAGATGCTTCCCCTGCTTCTGCCTCACTTGTAGGGACCTAGTGGTCCCCTCTTCATGGTGTGGTCCTCTCTTCATGGTGTGGTCCCCACATGGTGTCCCAGATGACCTGCTGGTGGGATTCACAGCTCTTACGGGAAGGAGTTTCTATCTATGGCAGTGGTGTGGCCTCCCAGGATTTGTGTCTGCAGGAATAAGTGCCAAGAGAATGGGAAGCTCTAAGGTGCTCAGGGAGCATGGGCAGCCCCAGAGGACCCTCAGCTCTGCCCTTTGGGCACAACCAGCTCTGGAGGAGTGAGGAGCGGAGCTGCTTGGCTCCAGGTGCCAGGGAGCTGGGGTGGTGAATCACAACCCGTCTGGCATGTTGGGGCTCCTGGCAGGATGGGACCTGCCCCATGGAACAGCAGGCAGGGCTCTGCAGTGCCAGCCAGGCTCCTGTCGTCACTGCTCGGCTTGTACCCATGTTCCTGAGCCACAGAAAGGCTGCAGGAGGCTGGAGGTGGCCCCATGTCAGCCCTGGTGTGGGAGGATGCTCCAAGGACAGGTGAAAGGGCTGAGCCCCCAGCAGGGCAAACAAATGCAGGTGGGGATTGCTCTCCCTGTGGACAATAAATATCACATGTGTTTTTAAAAGCAAAACTTCCTTTGCCCCCATTCCATCCCTTTCCAGCTCCTCTTCCAGGAGCTGAAATGTAAAAATCCAAGGAGTGATGCCAGTGGTAACCCAGAGAGGAGCCTGGTTCCTGGGAGCTGACTGAGGCCTGTAAAAAAATCGATGAAATAGTCCCCATTTTCATTTTTTTCTGGGTTTCCCATCCCACAAGGGGTGAACTGTGCTTGGGCTGCATTCATAAACCCTCGGGTGGTGGATGCAGGAGCTGCCTGGGGAATATCACTTTAAATCAACACACCCAGCCCTCCTTATCGAAGGCCCCATCAGAGCCGCACCAAGAGGCCCTGGATTTCTGTGCCACGCTGCTCCCAGGGCTGCTGTGCCACCTCAGAGTGATGCCCCATGGCCACAGCCAGCAGGAGGGACCCACCATGCAGGAGTGGGGGACCCTCAAACCCTGGCATGAGATTTTTGACACCAGGGTTTTGAGGAACAAATCCCAACTTTACACCTTGCCCTTACATCTGTGTGCCATGTGTGATTTGCATGGGGTAAATTCGTGCCCATTTCTTGCCACTACCACCAGGACATGGACCCTTTGCATCAGTAGGGCAGTCCTGCATGCCACCAGCTCTGCTGTCCCCATCTCCATGACTCAGCCAGTGCAGGAGCAGGAAGTTTATGTCTCCTGGCACTCAGCTCCAGCCCCTCCAGCCCTCGCCATGCAAATCCTGCAGCTTTACAGCCACACCAACGAGCCTTTCCTCCAAAAAAAAAAACACAACTGAAAAACAAAAAAAGGCTCCTTTATGTGGCTGAAAAGCCCGACTGTGATAATGTAGCAAGCGCTGGCCTTGGGTATTTTATCTTGGCAAGGAGCCTTTGCAAATTTAAACAGCAGCAAACAGGCTTTGGAGTTGTGGCTGGCGCGGCATAAGTGGGGCATTGTTTTGCAAGCAGAGCCATTGCGTGCCAAAGGGCCGCGTGTGAGCTTTGGCCGGGGAGCCGGCACGATAGGAGCCGGCCCTATCAGCCCCGGATCCATTTCACTTAGCAGGGTGTGAAATTGGGGAGGAATTCAAGCCTGGTTATTGGAATGAGAGAGGAGACCCCCGGGAGCTTGCTGTCTCCTCCCTGCAAGGTCTCACAGCATCCTTGAAGGAGTGCTGGGACTGCAGCCACAATTTTGCCACCTCTATATGCACTAAATATTGTTACTAATGCAGCATTGTGGGGTGCTGGGTGCTCATCCTGACCGCTCACAGCAGAGCATCAGGTGGGAATGGAGAGACAAGCCAAGCACGCTGTGGAGACCCCGGGTTGATGCAGGATGCTCTTCTTTTCCTGCAGAAATTCTCCTCTGCTTAGGTCACTACTGGGCAGGATGGCCAGGATGGGTGGACCGAGTAGGGCTGGGAGAGGTGAGAATTGCACCCAGGAGGAGATTAATAAGATGAATTTCCTGGTCCTCACCCCCTCCCAGCAGTATCGTGCCTTGACCCACTGAGACGGACAGTAAAGAAGGATTTCTAGTGAGAGAGGAGAAATAAACCCTCACTGTTTCCAACAGACTTTTTTAAAAAAGAGTCTTTTGAAACAGGGCTTTACCCTTCTTTTTAATATAACCTTTTTAATACAAAATCCTAGTAGTGCCTTTTAAAAGGCTGAGCTTGACGTGTGCTTTATGTCTAATGCCTTGAGGTCTGGGGTTGTAAAATTAGCTGGTAAATTTGGGACTCAGCTTTTATGCTTTTGCCTCCTTAATAGTGTTTAAAATTTCCAGGGCAATTTGTAGGGGGTGATAAAGTTAAGGCAGAGGCAGCAGAAGCTCTAAACGTTTCTCCAGGAATTCCAAAGCGATTGTTTGGTGGAGGGGCAGGAAAGAGATGCACCAGGTGGGGAAAGTGGTGGAGCAAAAGCCTTTCCTCTCATCATCCCTCCAGCCACGGTGACATGGGGACATGGGAACATGAGGACACAGGCACACAGGGACGCGGGCACACGGGGACATGGGGACAGAGCCCTTCCCAGATGCCTCTCCCAGCCCATCCCGACAGCCCTTCCCACTAATCCGTAGGTGGAGCTCTTCTGTCATCTTTTTCTGCTTATGTTGCTAAGAAGTAACCCAGAAATAGCTTTCCCCGGAGGAAAAAAGTGCTTCCTCAGCAGCTTTTGCCAGAGGTGAACTGCTCAAAGCATCCTTTGAAGAGCCCAAAGCTGGAGGGCTTTGCCCTGGAGCTGTTGGGGGAGGATTGTGCTGCCCCTTCCTCTATCCACTTTCCCACTACAGTGCCAAGAAAAGGGGCTAAAATCTCTCCTGTCCTTCCACTGGTCCCCTCCTGACTGACATCCACCCTCCTCTCTTCTCTCCTCTTCTCTCCAGGTCTGAAATGATGCAGCAGAGCCCCACCGGTGCTCGGGACCCTCCACCACCCCGGCCCCGGGGAGCTTCTGCCCCTCTCACGGCCCCGGTGCCCCTCGGTGGAGGACCATGCCCATGACAGAGGGACAGCAGCTTGCAGTGGGACGGGACAACAGGGCTTTCTAGGCTGTCCCCCTCCTCGGTATCATGACTGGAGAGACCCAGCATGTTTACACCATCGGCGATACTGAGGCTGCCCCCAAAGACCCCGACAAGGACTTTGGCTTTGAAGGCTGCGGGGAGAAGGATGGGAGGGTGCTCGGCGGGGAGGGCACATCCCCCTTCCCTGGCCCCAAGGACAAGGAGCCCCACAGCCAGCGGGAAGCCGTGATCCGGCCCCAGCAAGCAGGGAAGATCGACTTCAAATCCCTCCAGTGCAAACCCAAATTTGGCAATGACAGCACTTGGGGGGAGGTCAAGGGCAGCCCCCAGTCCCCACCGGGGAAGGGCCGAGCCCGCGAGCGCAGCCGGCGCTCGGGGAAGGGCGAGCGGGGCCACCACCAGCTCTACCGGCTCAGCATCGCCGGCACCCGGCCAAACCCCACCATCGGCATCGCCTACCCCCAGCAGAAGGTGACCCCCCCAAAGGAGCCGGAGGTGACTCCCCCCGTGGCCGGCAGCTACCGCTTCCATGTGCCCAGCATTCCCCAGCACGAGGCCGAGCTCCGGCAAGAAGAGCTCAGCTTTGGCCGCTGCTTCCCCGATGCCGCCGCCGGCCGTACCTCCGCCAACTATACCTCACAGCCCGGCCCCCCCCTCGGCCCCAAAGGGCAGCCCCCCACTGCCGGCATCCCCCTCAAGAGCCCCGGCACCCATGGGCAGCTACATTACTTAGAGTTTCAGGCAAACAGGACCAAGTCCTGGCCTTCCCCAGAGAAGAGCTTTGCCGGTGCTAGCTACGGGATCACGGTGCAGAAGCCCAGCTCTTTTTCTGAGGGTGGGAAAGCCAGTGTCCACAGTCTGGGGGCTTTGCCATGCCAGTACCCCTTCCAGCTGCTGCACGACTCGGGGAAGGAGCCGTACCACGGTGATGCGGGGAGCCAGGACTACCTGGACATGGGGCTCACCAGCAGCCAGCTGGCACACGGTGCCTTCACCTTCCACTCCTCCTCCAGAGAGTGGCAAGAGGAGACACTGAGCGGTGGCTCCTACGAGAGCGTGTCCCCCGAAGGGAGGCTGTACCTGCCCGTCTCAGCACCACCGCCACCGTTCCTGCACCCGCCGCCACCGCCAGCCCCGCACCACAGCCCGCTGCCCTGCTGCAAAGGCAGGAGCGAGCATCCCACCGACCCCAATGGTGCTCTCTCGTCATCTGGTGCTATTGACCAAAACCCAAGCACTTTCCAAGAAAACCAAGCTGTTTTTCCGTCTAGTTTACACTCGCCTAGTATGCCAAAGCCAGTCGGTAAGAGGCAAGCCTCAGCCAAGGACAGTGTCCCCGGCCCACGGCTGCTGGTCCAGAGCAGCCCTCTGAGAAGGAACATGCCACCAAACTCTCTGTCCCAAGTGCACTTTCAGAGCAAAGCCTATTGCAGTTCCCCCGTGGGCAGCACCAGCGCAGGATCCGTGCCTTTCGAGACAAGCATTCCCACTACGGCACCCACCCACCCCAGGCTTGTGCAAGCTTGGGAAGGTGCCACTAAGGCGTTTTCTCCCATGGACCAGAATTCAGCACCTTATTCAAACCCTGTTGGAAGCCAGTTCTCATTCGAGTGCCAGTCTGGCCCCGAGCAGAGGCAGCACAGGCAGAAAAACGCCAGGATGCCTTGGCAGCAAATACACCTCCCTTCTGCAATGCCCGGTGCAAACAGGCTGGAGCTGTCGAGGCAGATCACCAACCAGAAGCTCCACTTTCCCCTGGGCACATCGGAATGGCAGGGGAGTGGGAAAGCCCAGAAAGGGCCCCCCATAAGTAACTCTCCAGGGTATCATGGCAAAAAGCTCTTATCGGGAGAGAGCCTCGGGGTCCAGAGGGGAGACCCCAGTGTGACGGGCACTTTCTCTTTTGAGAGTGGGAAGGACCCGGGGTCTCCTGCCTGCGACTCAAGAAACAAAGCCGTTTTCTACAGCATGGGTCAAGCAGGTCCTCCTCCTCCCTCAAGAAGCTCGTCGGGCTCAGCACTGGTCCTGCTGCCATCAGCCTTGGTGGCTGCCTCCCCTTGCGAGTCCCCGCTGCCGTCCCCTGTCCCCAACCCCACCTGTGGCAGCACCTGCTCGTCGCTCTCCCCCGTGTCCAGCAGCCCACTCAACCCTGCCTTTGAAGACAGCCAGATGTCTGGAGCGCTGACGCCCTCGCCCTTCTTCCAGCACCCCTGCCACCCCAAGGATTCCAACAAAACCTTCCACCCCTCTGATGTCCTGAGCCCCAACTCACTTCATTACCCCCCCTCAGACTCCATCAAGTCCTTCCACTTCCCTCCTGATGCCCTGAAAGATGACAACCTCCTGAAATGCACCCCGGCGAGCCCATTCCACAAACCCGGTGTGGAGGTGGCCAAAGGATGCTCGGATGGGCTGGATGGGGAGCAGCCTCCACCACCGTACTCCTCCCATCACTTGCTGGCCAGTTCACTCAACAGTGCCAGCCTGGACCAGCTGGACGTGCTCCTGACCTGCAAACAGTGTGACCAGAACTACAGCAACCTCTCATCCTTCCTGCAGCACCGCCAGTTCTGCGCCTCCCATCCCACTCCCCAGGGAGAGGGCAAGGATGCTCCCCGGGCAGCCGAGGGGCAGAAAGCACTTCCCCAAGAGCCTCCCAAGCCCCCCAGCCTGGGGCTCTCTCCAGACCCCCAGGTGCATTTGTTGACATTAAACAAGAGCGATGACTTCTTGCTGGACGGGGAAGGCAAAAGCGAGGGCAAGGAGGATGCTCTGAAGGGCAGCCTCTTCAACGGCCTCACCACCACCTCTCTGCCCCTCACCGCCTCTGACCTGGATATTGATGATGCCAAGCTGGACAGCCTGATCACTGAAGCCCTCAACGGCCTGGGGTACCAGTCAGATAACCCAGAGATCGACAGCAGCTTCATAGATGTGTTTGCCGACGAGGAGCTGACGGGCGTGAAGGCAACCAGCAGTGGGATGTCCCACAAGGCAAAGGAAGCCCTGGCCTCAGAGAGCAAATCAAAGCAGGCAGCAGAGGAGAAGGCAGCAGGACAGCCTAAGGCTAGCTATTCTTATGCAGATGGACGCCCAGCTGGGGAGCAGGGGAAAAGAGGGGCAGGAAAGCAGCACCTTCACAAGGGGAGGGCGGCACGGAGGTTGGCAGCCCAGGAGCCGGATCCTGGGGCAGAAGGAGTGGAGAGGACAGCAAGGCTGCGGGCAGGCAGGAAGAACAGCATCCCACCAGCCACCACCTCCTCCAAGTCCACCTCTAGTCAAAAACATCCCAGAAAACTCAGCCAGGAGCCTCCAGCAAAAAGCGAGGCAGGGCCAGTCATTGCCACCAAGAGCTCCAAGCCACCACGGTTCTCCATGAAGGACATGAAGAAGCGGAAGCCCCGAAGCGGGACGTGGAGCAAGGAGCTCATTCACAAGATCGTGCAGCAGAAGAATAAGCTCCACAAACTGCAGGTGAAGAGCAGCAAGCAGGCCCAGTTCCCTCAGGCCACTGAGAGGCCAATGCCAGCCACCAAGGAGGGCAGGTTGCGGGAGTATGACTACGTGTCCGACTCGGATGAGGATGGAGCAGAGTCCAGCAAGCCCCGGGGGAGGAGGAAGCGTGGCACGAGATTCATCAGGAGGAGCAAATACAGCTTTAGCAAGAAACGCCTGGGGAGAAGTGAGAGAATCAAAGAGAAAGACCCAGCCTGGAACTACAGCCGGAAAAGGGGCAGTCAGAAAAGGGAAGCACAGGGGGATGGGGGGGTTCAAAGACAGGAGGATGCTGAGAAAGAGGATTGTGCTGCCCGAGTCCGAAGACGGAGCAGCCAGTCATCTACCGGCAGCAACCACAGTGGTAGTGAGCCCAGAGAGATGGGCACCAGCCCACCCCGTGCTGAAGGGGCCAGTGAGAAGGGTGGCACTCAGAGGAGAAGGCACTCAGGCAGCCCAGCACATGTGCCAGGGACTCCACTCAGCCTTCCCAAGGACAGGAACTCAAAGGCGAGCCAGAAGAGCAAAGAGGACATTTCCAGGTGGAGCAGGCGGTTTGGCACAGCCAAACCTTTGCTGGCAGGCTCCAGGACACATCTGAGTCCTGAACCAGATGTTGCTGTGATGGACTGTGCAAAGGTGGAGCCATTTTCACAGCCTCAGGAAAGGCAGCTGCCCAGCATGGCCACCCCGGGCAAGAGCCCCATTGGGATCTCCTGTAAGGAAGAGCCCAAAGGAGCAGCAAAGCTCACAGGCGAGGTAGAAGAACCCACCCTGGAGGCTCAGAACTCACCCAGTCTGACCATGGTCAACCAGAGGCATCCATTCACCTCTTTCACAAGTGAAGGGCTGAAGTACCACCCAGAAGAGATAATTGCTCCATCCCACAGCAGCAACAAAGCAAGTCCTGGCCATGTGAGTGCCACCTACTCAGAAGCAGGAATCAAGCACTTGAAGGGACACGGGCTCTGTGACAGCCAGAAGGACTATCCCGCTCCGGCCCCCACGTATGGGGGGGATGCAGTGGGAATGATGCTCAGTGCCAAGGCCAGCAGTGACAATGCATTTTTTGATCCCAAAGGCCTTCCTGGTCACTACAATGACAACCTCTTCCCAAAGCCCCTAACCTTGGGCTCCTCACACATGGACGACATGTACTTGTGTCAGGATGACATCAACACCAGCTCCTTCGAGCAGAAGCACTCCACCATCTCCCCTTATGCTGCAGAAATTCCACAGGGCAAGGTGTCCTCCCCTCTCAGCTTTGATTCTTCTTCGATATTTGGAGAGCTTCCTGTCACCGAGTTTGACCCGCCACTGTACGAGAGCGTTTCTGCCAGCAAGGATGGATATGTGACAACATTCATCTGTCCCGGGAATCCCCCACGCAAGCCATTGCCCTTTGAGCAACCATATCCACCCTTCATGCCAGAGAAGGACTGGTCCCTGATGGAGGAAGTGGCTCCGATGTTGCCAGAGGACATGACTCAGTTCCACAGCCTCTCAGTGGAGAAGCCACTAGCCAAGAAATTCCCCGAGGAAGGACCTGTCCCCACCAGCCAGCTCTCCCTGCCACTGCCGGACAGGATAACGGATTATAACGTGACTTTTATAAACAACATATCAGATGATGAGCTGGAGATCAAGCGATTAGTCACAGAGCTGGAAAGCCAACTGCAAACCAGCAAGTTGGGTAACGAGGCATCCATCAGCCTCCAGAAACCTGAGCAGCACCTGCAAGGACAGGAGGCCAAGAGATTCCCACCACTGCTGGGTGAGCAAGAGGCAGGCCAGGAGAAAGGACTGTTTTTGGCAGATGAGCTGAGCAGATCAAGCCTCTGTGTTGGGGAGAGGCTGGGAGGTGAGAAGCCGGGCATCACAACTGCCCACGAGGACTATGAGAGACCCAGGGAGCCCTGGCCCTGCCCGGTGGAGCTGGGCTCACTGGAGGCCGGGCTGTGTGTTCCAGCCCCACTCACCACAAACCATTTCTGCTCCAAAGACAGCAGTGAGCAGCTCCAGGGAACTGCATCAGCTGAGGAAAGAGATCCCAGAAAGCTGGAAAATGGGTCATCTTCCAAAAGTCTACGAGGCTCAAGCACAACAGACCACACAGAGGTTCCTGTCTACTCAGACCCCGTGACAAAAAGCTCTCCTATTGTCACCGACTCCATGTTCCCAAAGACGGTGGAGGCGGCAGAAGCAGCCAAAGATCCCGTGCCATCCCTGCCATGCCAGCACAGTGCTGAGAGCTTACCTGTGCCAGGGAAAGCAGACACTGATGCTGCAGAACTGGAGAAGTTTGATGCCCATCTTCCAAACCATAAACCTGAATTTGGCTTCCATCAGGGTCCCACCCCAGCCTTGGATCTCGCCTTTTCACCTCACATCAAAGAGGTCCCAGATACAGAAGAAAGAGCCTTAAGCCCCACTGAGTCACCCAAAATGGTGCAAAGTGCCGTGGACTTCAAAGAGGGTGGTAGTGGGTCTGTGTTGGTGGAGGAAACAGAGGAGAGGAAGAGTCCAACCCCTGGACTCAATGACAAAGCCAGCAAGCCAAAAGTGTTGCTGTTTGATATGCTGAGTCTGCCCAAGGAAAGCAACCGTGACTCCCGGGAGATGTTGGCATCTCAGGAGACATCTGCCAACCCTCTGCAGCAGCTCCAGCTCTTTGTTGCCCGAACGGTGAAGAACAATGAAGAGGAGTTGCTGATGCCATGCTTCCCCATGCTGCTGGCTCCCAACCACCCCTCTGCCACTGCCTGCATCCAGCCAGACCAGAAGGAGGAGGGCAGTGATGCCTTGGAAGGGGAAAATCGGACATACTGCCCTGCCCATGGGGAGGGGGTAATCCCCATGGGAAGCAACACAGAAAATATTGCTGCCCCAGGGGCAGAGGCTGTGCTTTTCTCCAGTAGTTGTGAGCAGCTGGAATCATTGGGTGCAATGGGCTCTTTCCATGCAAAACAATCCACATCTGCGGAGCCGGAGCCGCAAAATGATGTAACGGAGCTGCAGCACTTAGCAAATGAACCTGCGGAGCCGAGTGACATTAATATCCCTGCAGATGGTGTTTCCCAAGAGCGTAATGACCTCTCGCCACTCAAAAACACGGCGGTGACCCCACTGCCAGGGCAAGGAAGGAAAGCTGATCAGCTCATGGAAGAGCAGGAGGAAGATAAAAACAACACGACCTTGGCATTTACGAAATATGAGCAATCCCATTTTAGCCGTAGTTTGCTCAAGGAAGAAACACTGGGCAGCACAGTGGGAGAGAGGCTGGAAAGGAATCAGGTGGGCAAGGGGCCACAGCACCTGTGCAGTGCTCCCATGAGTTCCATCAGCCCCCCCGCTCCCTCCGAGGAGGATCTCCACCAGAATCACCACGTGGTGACCGAGACTAAAGCTGGCACAGTGAATGCAAAGGCTCCCAGAGAAGGGGATGGCAAGTCATCCCCCAATGACTGTTATCACACGGGTGAATCTCCAATCAGCCTGCTCTTGCCAACCCAATTTTCTGACCCCAAATGCTTGGAAAGCAGTGGGGCCGAGGGAGGAGAGGTCCCCAGCTTCGTCACTCAACTCTCACATGAGAAGAAATACAGCACCTCCCTGCCTAATGCATCAAGTTCATTAGTCATGAAGAGGTGTCCCCCTGAGGCCAACAGCCATCACATCCATCGCCACACCATGAGTTCAGTAGAGCAAGGGACATGGAAAAAGCCAGCCACCTTTCCTCCCTTGCTGCATCACTGCGGGGCTGTGCCGATGGAAGCAGTTGAGGAACGTCACCATCACCTCCCTGATGGTGTTTTGGGTAACTATGGACCACCTGAAAGAGAAGGGATGGTGAGACCCTGCGCTCTAATGCATGGTGATGGCCTGGTGGGGTCTGCCTTGGAGATGGATGGTCACCAGGAGCCTCATGGAAGGGACTGTTCTCTTCCCTGTTCGCCACCTTTCAACCAAAAGGATGTTGGGAAAGAGGTACCTGAAAATGCCAGTACTGTGTTGTCAAATTTTAAAGAAAACCAACTATGCACCGTCACAGACATGGTCATTAAGTCCACTCCTTCAGAAACCCAAGATCACTCAACCCAGCCCCCAGCAGATCTTCTGCTCATCAGAGAAAGAGAGGTCAACCTGAATCAAGAGAACAAGCTTGAAAGCTGCTCCGATGATGGAAATAAACATCAAAGCGAACAAGAGACTTTGTCCAATGGTTTTGCTGCTCAGGAAGTGACAGCTGCTGTCAGCAGAAGTTTCACAAGGGTTGAAGATCTTGGTCCTGCTGAATTAAATGGTCACAAGTTTTCAGAGGCAGCAGAAGTGAGACTAGGTCTTTCCAAAACCACAGAGAGTGAAGGAAAGAGTTTAAAAGGGGAGAAATCCAAAAGGCATGGGGCTGGAGAAGATGGGTGTTGTGTGTTAAACAGTGTGGACCAAGGAGAGAACAATACACCCAACAGTACTCCAAACCCTTTCCAAAATGAACTTCACAAAGGAAAAAAGGCAAATGGGCTCCCAGTGACCTGTGACCTTTGTTCAGCCACTTTCCGGTCTAAGCCTGGCCTGACCAGACACAAAGCTGTCAAACACCAGGTGAAGAATGGGGGTGTGCCACAGCCCAGCAAGACTCCCAGGTCCCCTTCAATTCCTGCTGACAAGGTATTGAAAACAGCCCAAAAGGTACCCAGGAGGAGCATGAAGGCTTCGGTCAAAGGTAAAACCTCCAGCTCACAGGTGCCGACGACCAGTGTTGAACATGTCCCCAAGAAAATACTCCCAGACCTGGAGAAAGAGCCCAGCACAGAGATGCAAGAGGTGGTCAGCAGAGTGCTCAGTGACCTCAGCGTGATCTCCCTTGAGATGTCCCAGGAACTGCACTGCACGCATGTTTTGCAGAGGGAGATGAAGGCAAAGGGACTGCACTCCGAGATGAGGGGATCAGAAGAGGTGGTGTCTGGGAAGCTGGACTCAGGATGGCAAGTCAGGAAGGAAGAAAAGGGCAGAAGGAGCCAAAGCAAAGATCCTGGAGAGGAGAACGGCAGTTCTGAGAAGCAGCTAAGCAGGAAAGTGAGACGAAGGAAAGCAAAGGTATTTCCCAGCAGAAATGAACCCAATGATCCTTGTGAGCTGGAGAAGAGCATAGGTCCTTCCCCTGCTGTCCTCAGCTCCAGTCTGCCCAGGATCACGGAGGGCTTGCACGAGCCAGGTGGTTGCATCTCCACAGAGGACCAAAACAGGACCCAGCACTCCCAAAAAGCCAAACAGTCCCCTTGTGAGGCCCAGCTTGCAGAAGACCTGGGCAACAGGGGGGCGTCTTCAAAGGAGATGGTCAGCAAGGAGTCAGCAATTGGCACAGTCACCCGCCCTGGGGAGGTGAAAGATCCAAATGGAGTGGAAGATACACAGACTTGCAAAAACTGGGTTAGTGGGTTTGTGAAGCAAGTGACAAAGGGGTTGGGCAAAGTAAGCAAAGAGCAGCATCGTGGTGCTGATGAGGCAGAGGAGATGCATACTGGGACAGGACACAGCCCTGCAGCAGGCAGTGACACTGGGAACTGGAGTGGTGCCCCACAGGGTCCCACAGCTCCTGCTGAAGGGGCTCTGCCACTGGACACACATGATTTGGGAATGACCCAAAAGGTTCCCAGACAAGGCACTCTGCAGACCAGCCCTCCTCCTGCAGAGCCAAAGCAATGGGCGAAGGCAGAGGTGCCCCCAGGCAGAGAGCACTGCATGGAGAACGCGGTCACCTCAGATCTCCAGAGCTTTTTTGACGATGACTCCACATTCTCCCAGTTGTTCCCCCGGGATGACCAGTTTGTCCGGAGGAAGTGCACACGGGTTTATGGGAAGCGTAGCAAGAAACCCAAGCCCATCACCGAAGTCAACCTTCAGGCAGCAGGTGCCATCAACCTCTTCACCATCCAATTGGCTTCTGACCTCAGCGAAACCAGCTCTTTCTGTGTCACCAGGGAGGACCCTTGTGAATACGAGACCATCTCTGTTGACGATGCCTTAATGCTAAACATGTGTCATGGCAGCAAGACGAAGAGCGGGGATGCTGCTCCAAACGGATCTAAAAGCATTGAGCTGAGGTTGGACCACAAGGCGACTGACCAAGGGAAGGAGGACATTGACCTGGAAGACAACATGCTCACCTTCTTGTGCCAAAACAGCCAAGTGGACAATGTCCCCAGCTTGAACATCTGGGGGAGTCTGGAGAAGGAGGGAGAAAGTCTCTCTGCTGAGGACATGTTGGAACCTCTGATGGACCTTGAGGATGAGCACTCGCTCAGAGAAGCGAGCTCCGAGCCCCCCGACCTGGCAGAGGAGCCCTATGATGATAAGGACAATGAGGATTCGGACTCTCCTGAATTTCATACCATTGACATCGAGATGCTGAATGCAAAGCTCAAAATGAGAGACATGTGCTTCTTTGGCCCTTGTGAAGATCTTCCTGGCCATGGGGAGGACAGCACTGTGAGTTTGAAGCCAAAGTCAGGCAAGCACAGGAGCAAGCTGGAAGATGGGAAATTGGGGAAAAACCGCGGTGAGATAACCATCAAGACCAAAGACAAGCAGTACAAATGCAAAGTCTGCTTCCAGTGGTTCCTGACATTGGGGGAGCTGGACTTCCACAAGCTCTCCCACAACCCTTCCCCTCCGCCTACCTGCTACATGTGTGTCCAGCGCAAATTCAGCTCCCGGGAGCAGTTGAGGGACCACCTGAAGGAGAAGCACGCCAAGAACAAAGCTGGGCTGTGGGCATGCGGGATGTGCCTGAAGGAGATCTCCGACGTCTGGATGTACAATGAGCATCTCCGGGAACACGCCACCCAGTTTGCCCGCAAGGGGCAGGCGCAGAAGTCAGTGATGGGCCTGCCAGCCTGCTTTGGTGAGGACAATGCTGCTGTCACCCACTTCCTCAACACCATCATGTATCGGAAGCCCAACAGGTCCTCCCGGCACACCGACCCCAGCAGCAGGCATGCGGTCACCAGAGAGAGCAAGAGCCCCAAGGAGCTGCCTCTCGAGCAGGAGGCCAAGGCAATGAAAGACCCCTTGGAAAGCAACGTCAAGGTGAAGCCACCTGCTCCCAGCTCCTCTAAAGCATCTGCCAGCCCCTCTCCAGAGCACATGGCAAAAAGTGAAGGCACCCCAAAGTCTGTCCCCATGCACCCAGACTGCAAAGATCCTTCCAGGGACTGCCATCACTGTGGCAAGCAGTTTCCCAAGCCCTTCAAGCTCCAGCGGCACTTGGTTGTGCACAGTTTGCAGAAGATTTACTTGTGCCACAGGTGTCCCATGTTCTACCAGGAAACCAAAGAGCTCCGAAACCACCTGAGCCAGGAGCATGGTGTAGTGGAGGAGCAGGAGATCAAGCACACCACCCTGTACACCTGTGAGCTCTGCGCCGACGTCATGCACGTTATCAAGAAGTCCTTCATCTGCAGCATGTGCAACTACACCTTCTCCAAGAAGGAGCAGTACGACCGGCACATGGAGAAGCACCTGGCAGGAAGCAACAAGACTTTCAAGTTCAGAGGGGTCATGAGGCCTGGCACTGCCTCCAGGGAGGGCAGGGAGAAGGAGAAAGAGGACGGATGTCTCCAGGAGGCCATGCCTCCGAGCAAGAAGAGGAAGGTTGCTCACCACAGTAGCTCACTCCCATGCAGGTCACCAGTCCACCTGCACCACACGAGTGACCTTCAGCTGGTAGAGGCTGCAAGCCCCAGTCTGCAGAATCCCACTGACTCCTTCCCAACAGCACCTGGTGATCCAGGAGCACCCCAAACCTCCGTGAAAACAGAAGACCTGGTGGGTGACTTCTCCAACCTCCTGGCAGAGATGGAGAAGTCCCCATTTGACACCCTACCACCACCACCCTGCCTCTCCCCATCTCTGCCTCAAGCTGCCGCAGGCAGCCCGGAGCTCAGCCACATCGCTGGCCTGGCTATCGAGGAGCTGGAGAAAGGAGCGTTTGATGGGAAACCACTTCCTTTCTTGGACTCACCCGAGTTTACCATGGACCTTGCTGGGCTGGCTTGTAACCAGGCCACAGACCAAAAACTCTCTCCTCCACACCTGACCGAGAAACGCGGCTGCGCCGATGCCCATAAAAGAACAGGCAACAAAGATGAATATAGAGCATATGTCGTGGAAAATCCCAGCACAGGCACCAATGCCATGGATGAGATCCCATTTCTCCAGCTTGCCAAGAAGGTCTCAGAGCTTCCTTCCCCTGAGGCAGAGTCTCCACCAGCCAAGGAGACCCTCAGATGGGGCAATGTCAGTTCCAGCGATGTCTCTGCTTGGGAAGGTGCATCTGAGGTCACGTCTCCAGAAGCTGCCCACTACCCCCTGCCCCTGAAGGACAAGACAGCATCACCCACACTCAACAGGTCCACCACAGATTCAGCCCCACCAAAGAAGACCACAGGTAGCCAGCCTGGCAATGAGGCTGCTCTGAGTGTAGGCAGCCCCAGCGGCAGCACCGAGGAGGGTCAACAACCCATCTCCGGAAGGGACAAATCCATGTCTGAGGCTAAGGATGGTATCACCAACACCAAAGACCAAGGTGGTAACCCAGGCAAATCCACCAGCCACCAGCCCAGGTGTGAAATGGCCGCCAACGCCGCAAAGCACAGCCACGTGGAGCCAAGCAAAGCCACCGGCAAGCTTCACCCCAAGAGGAGGAAAGAACACAAATCCTTGAGCCACCGGAGCAGCTCTGGCTCCCGGGAGAACATGGAGGGAGATGGGAAGAAGAAAAAAGCCCGGACGCCATGCCCAGTGAGGAGCGAGAGCACTGTCGAGCTCAAACGCGCCAGCTGGAGCAACACCGAGGCCTCTGCCCTCTCCCCGGGGAGGAGGGAGACGCACTGCAACAAACTGGTACCCAAACCCAAAACGGGCCCCCAGCTGAAGAAGATGGCCCTGGACACTTACAACCAGAAGAAAGGGGAGCTCCGTCACGCCAACGGGGACGTGAAACGCAGGAAGGCCATTCTGGGCAAGAGCCTCCACCAAGTGCTGGCCAAGGGGCCGTCGCCGTCCCCACGCGGCACCTTGCAGAGCCCGCGCACTGCCCGTGGGGCCAAGCCGGCCGGCGCCGCCAGCTACCGCACCGCCGAGTCCCAGAACAACCTGCTCAGCCAACTCTTTGGGCAAAAATTAACTAGCTTCAAAATTCCTTTAAGAAGAGATACTTCAGAATAATTTATGGAAGTGACTTATGGTGATCCTCAGCTGCTTTCATGGGGTTTGCAAGGGAAAAATTATCAAAGCATTAAATTCGTTTGTGTAGCATGATTTCTCTGTCTAGCTTAAATGAACTTGCACTGCAGCCTCTGTGAAATAGTTTGCTTTGTGTCTACTAATCTACTTTAATTCACCTGATTTATCATGCAAATGCTAGAACTTTGATGTTGCTGATGATTTTCATGAACTGAAATTGTAATCGCTTTGGGCAGACTGAATCGTCGAGAGCAATTGCTTTATTGCAGAAGTGCTGAGGTTATAAGGATACTTGCAAATCTCAGACCCTTTTGAGTCTATGTCTGTGTTATCTTTGTACAAAGTACTTGAAGAGATGAACTTCATTCCGTAGACGTCTTATTCAGAAGGTGCAGTACACTGTAGAAAGCAAATTTTATATTTTTTTTTGAAGATTTTGCACAAATAATCCCGTACAATTCATTTAATTGGGAGCTGGCCTAAGAGATGATACAATTAAAAAATTAAATTAAGAACCAAGTGTCCTATATTTTGACAGCCATCCCTAAGGATTTTGTTTCTACATCGTCAAGAGAATAACGAACCAGCTCTGGGGCTCCGGGGCTGTCAGAGCCTTTCAGAGGATGCTGCCACTCTTTGACCACTGTAGACGATGTGACCGGAGAAGAACCGTCACCATGAGCAAACTGCACCTTGACACTTGTGACAAACTCTGATTTTTTAGGGGTTTGGGGGGGGTTTTGTGTGTGTTTGTGTTTTCTTTTTGTTTGGGGGGGGGGGTTTTTGTGCAACGAGAAAACTGTGCCAATTTACCGCACCGAACTGGTACTGTCCAAGTGCCCTCAACGGTATCACTTCTAAAGTATCTTACTGTATTGAGTTAGTGGCTCTATAGGTATCCGCTTTTACTATGCAGTTACTGGTGCTATTCTTCATTTGTAATGTGAATACAGACTTCCTTGATTGAAAAATAAAAGGGAAACTTTAGGAAATAGCCGTTACCTGTTAAAAAAAACGAAGCAGGAAAAGAGACTTTTAAAAAAAAAATTCCAACTTGAGGGAAAAAAAATTCAGCTTTAGGGGGAAAAATATGAATTTAGGGAAAAGAAATTCAACTTTAGGGGAAAACAATCCAACTTAGGGGAAAAAAATCAGCTTTAGGGAACCAAAAATTCAACTTTAGGCAAAAAAATTAGGGAAAAAAAGAATCCCTGTATGCTGGTACTCCATCGTGTTGAAAAGGTTCCGTTACATTAAACGAGCATGTTCTACAACCGAACTTTTGAATCCGGAAAGAAATCTCAGGTGCAAACGAGGACATGGAAAGATATTATTGAAATACTCCCAAGTCAAGGAGGTGAAGTAATGCACTGATGTGATATGAACAGTCAGAGTACTTTGCGTCTGTCCTGCAATGATTTTTTTGTTTTGTTTTAGATTTAAAAGGAAAAAAAAAGAGGCTTTATTCTGTTAATATGTATCTTTACAATTCTTTGTATTGTATAAAAAACTATTGTAGGTAATTTACCTTGGGTGCAATGTGTTCTGTCAAAAGTTTTTATTTTGATATTTTGTCCAGAGAAGCAGAGAAAGAGCAGGAAACCCTGTTTTATGATGTTGTCTGTGTGCTTTTAAAGTGCCTCTTTAATATTGTTAAAATAAAGTATGAGATGAAAATATGGGGTGGTACTGTAAAGTCATACCTGATTAATCTTTTCAAATATATTCCAATATTTTCACAGAAATTCCCTGTCTGTGTGATGTTTGGGGGATCTTCCTCCCTGGAAAATGTCCTCTGTAAAGTGACTGGGGAGGACGTTGTTGCCACTGCCATCACTTCTGAATTGTTTGCAAAGCAGTGGAGCTTCTTTATGGTGAAGATGCTCCTCTTCACACCACACCCTGACTGAGTCCTGCTCATGATATGAGTGTCTTGTCCCGGGGGGGAAAAAAGCCCAACGCGATGGTGATGGTCCAGTTTGGTCATCACCAGCTGGTGGTGGTGATGGCACAGTTTGGTCATTATCCATTTGTGATCATGATGGCGTTGGTGATATTGATGGTGATGATGATGATGGTGCTGGTGTTAGTGATGGTGACGGTGCTGGAGATGTGATGGTAACAGTCCAGTTTGGTCATCACCAATTTGTGATGGTGATGGTGGTGATGTTTGTGATGGTGATGATGGTGATAATGACAACCCAGTTTGCTCATCCCCAGTTTGTGGTGGTGATAATGGTGATGGTGATGGTGATGGTGATGAGATGGTGATGACCTGGTTTGATCATCACCCATTTGTGATGGTGATGTGATGATAGTGACAGTGTTGGTGATGGTGATGATGGTGATGGTGACAGTGCTGGTGATGGTGATGATGGTGATAGTTATGATGGTGATGGTGTTGATAGTGATGGTGACTGCCCAGTTTGTTCATCCCCACTTTGTCCTCAAGCTGACCTCTGCCGGCGCAGCGCCGAGGTCTGGGGGTAGGAGCTGACACAAAGCCGGGTGTATTATATTCTTTAATTACTGTTGCAATCACAACATTGAGATGCTGTCAATGAGAGATAGCTCGGAACCGCCGGCTGGGATCTTCGCCACTCGGGGCTTGTAACTAAAACTGCAGGATTAATTTGATTAATTGATAGAATTATTTTCCAAACTACTCTTTTGTTTATGGAGGCTTAAAATGCTTGCCGCCTGCACCCTCCTGGTGTGTTGCAGAGTGGAGATAAAGTGGCTGAAAATAATTAGTATGGCTTAATTTAGGGAAAAAAATAACCTCAAAAGAATTTTGCGGAAAATTTAAGGCAGCACATTTTACTTTGTTTTGGCAGGAAATATTATGGAGCTGGAAATGGGACTTTTATGTTTTCCCTCTACAATATTTCACCAGGGCAGCAAACCTACGGGGTGGAGGAGGAGTATTTCATGCCTGGTTGTTACCACAGCTCTCCCACACCTCCAGATTCATCACCTGGGCACCTGGAAATGAATCCCCTAGGAGCCATGGGATTGCTGCAGGAATGGGACATATCTCCAGGGTCTTGGGATGGGTGCAGGGATATCATCCCAAAGCAGCACCCACCTTACTGAAGCCCAGGACACGAGTGAGGCTTGCCTTGGGTGCCACTCCCTCTAGAATGCTACTCCCCAGGGAGATGCTTGGATCATCCCCGCAGCTCTGGGGGTTGAAATATTTAATTAATCCCTTTCCTCCCTAAATGTGAGTAGTTTTTTCCTTCCCCATCCTCTCCCTCTGCTCTCAGCCACATTCCCCTCCCGCTGAGCGGGCGACCCCCCCAGTCCATCAGCTCCTCTCAGCTCCCTAAAGCCCCCGGGTTTGCTGAGTCCTGCATTATCCAGCAGCACTTGTCACTTGGAAGATTGCAGGCCCCTGTCAATGTAATTCCAGCAAGGATGCAAAGCTGGGCAGCTTCTCCTGGCTGCAGATTAACTCCCTGCTCAACGGGTGCCAGCAGCACAGGGGGGCACCTATGGGACCCAGCACATCCAGGGATCCCAGCCCTGCACCACACTGGGATGCACCATCCTCAGCCCAAATCTACACCCTCATGGATGGGGATGACTCCACAGACAGCCCCAGAGGGGTTACAGGGTGGGTCATACAGACAGTGCCTGGAATTTTACAGAGGGATTTTTTGGCTTCTTGCCACCACACTATATTTTCCTCAAGCTGTTTGCTCTTCAAGCCCCCCCAAATCCAGCCAGCCTTTCTTCTCAGCCCCACATCCAAGTTTCCGAGCCGGAGGTGCTTTAAGCCTCTCCGTAAAGCCTGGAGGATAACGGGATCCACCATGGTTGTCACACTGCAAGCAGGGGCTGAAGACTTAGAATTTTTTTTCTTGCTTTTGAGTCAAATCTGGCCGTTCCTTGCACAGCAGGAATTTAAACCCCAGCTCCCACCTCCCTCTGGCCGTATGTGTGTGATGGGTCCACACTCACCCAGGGAGTCCTGCATCCCTGAATTGCCTTCAGGCAGGAAAACCCAGAGCCCTGGGGGCTGTGAAGAGTGGGAACAGGAGCACAGCACTGATGCACCCCCCTACAGGGATGCCATCCTGAAGCCCAGTTTCACTGCCCAAGCCCCAGGGATGGGGGGATCGCTCCTTTTGGAGTTAGAGCACTGTCCCTAAAGCAAGAGGTCAGTAAGAGGGAGGGGGAAATAAGCATTGACACATTCCAGCTTTGAATTTGGGGGGTGGGGGCTGCTCATCCCCACATTCCCACTTGGTTTCAGTGGCATCCAACATTGTTTGCACCAGGGGAGGTTTAGGCTGGTTATTAGGGAAAATTTCTTCATGGAAAGGGTTGTCCAGCCCTGGTACAGGAGTCACCCTCCCCAGAAGGATTTAAAAGCCATGCAGATGTGGCACTGGGGTGCATGGTGTAGTGGTGGCCTTGGCAGTGCTGCTAATGGTTGACTCGATGATCTTAGTGGACTTTTCCAACCTAATAAATTCCATGATTATGATTTGTTTTAACCCCAAAACCTTCCATACTGCCACCCCAGCTCCCAGGAGCCCTGAACTCTGCAGCAGCATCTTTGCACAGGGCATGCCCAAGCCGTGCCCAAGTGGTGACGGGACATGCCCAAGGAGTGCCAAAGCCATGCCCAAGCCGTGCTAAGTCATGGAGGGACATGCCTGAGCCATGCTGAGGCTTTGCTCAAGCCATGTCCAAGCCGTGCCCATGCCATGTGCAAGCCATGTCATGTCCATGTCCAAGCCATGCCCAAGCCATGCCCAGGCCACAGAGGACCCCAGGCTGTTGGCAGCTGCCTGGGTCTGAGCCTCAGGTAGGTGAAAAGTGGCACCCAGGGCCAGGTTCTCCTGCCAGCAGGTGGCAGGGCCCCTCCACAGGTGGGGCACTGTGGTGCCAGCCCTCTCTCTTGGGACAAAAAAACATAAAATAGGACATTTTGACCTGGGAAAAGCTGTTTCTGCACCCAGGCAGAGCTG